AGTGCTGGTTTATAGGCTGGAATAAACCTTAGATGGGACTACATGGGTTTGTTTAGAGGCTTGAATAAACCTCCTGGAGAAGGTTTGGAGAGGTGCAGATCTTAGAGAACCTGAGATCTGTACAGAAAAAATCAACAGAAACTGGAATAAAGCATTAAATGAGAGGAAAAGGGTGCTACACTGGGAAGGGCAGTAGTTAAGGATAATTGTTAGTTCTTTGGTTTTTCTCTGGGTTGTCAGATCTCTGTGTGTTTCCCTGGTAGCTGAGGGTGCTGAAAGCCATGTGCAAGGTTGATCTGGTGGATGAACTTGTTTTTAGGCTTGAATAAACCTAAGGTGAGGCTACATGGGTTTGTTTATAGGCTTGAATAAACCTCCTGGAGAAGGTTTGGAGAGGTGCAGATTTAGAACCTGAGATTTGTACAGAAAAAAATCAACAGAAACTGGAATAAAGCATTAAATTAGAATAAAAGGGTGATCCACAGGGAAGGGCCAGCCTGTCTTGTCCAAGGGCAGCCCTGCCTCATGATCCTTCAGCAGTCAGAGCTCTGCCAGCAGGGCTGACATGGGCTCATTGTCAAAGCTCCTCCAGCAAAGTTCTTTGTCAAAGTTCCTTAGGAAAGAATCAAACCAGAGATCTGTGGGAGAGAAGGTCCTTGCATGAGTCAGTGAGGGATGGAAGGGAAGGAGGAAATGGCTGATGTCAGTGGAGTTTGGTGGGAATCTCTTTGCTGCTCATTGTAATTATTGAATAAGCTGGAAAAGGCTGGAGCAGTGAGGTGCCCAGGCTGGCTCTGAGCTCAGGGACTGAGGCAGGAAATGGCAGAGGAGATTCAGGACAGAGAACTGTCAGTGATGTGTGGGAGGAGGAGCTCCCCTGACCTGGCTAAAGCTGGTGGCTGTAGAGGGCCCAGACCCCAAACAGGAGTATTGTATTTGCAGGGAGGAATGGTGAATCTGACTCCATGTTCTCAGAAGGATAATTTATTACTTTATGATACTATATTATATAAAAGAACACTATACTAAACTATACTAAAGAATACAGACAGGATACTTACAGAATGCTAAAAAGATAATAATGAAAACTCATTACTCTTTCCAGAGTCTGGACACAGCTTGTCCCTAATTGGCCATTGAATCAAAACAGTGATTCAATCATTAACAATGAAACAATCATTACTTTATGGTACTATATTATATCAAAGAATACTAAACTATACTATACTAAAGAATACAGACAGGATACTTACAGAATGCTAAAAAGATAATAATGAAAACTTGTGATTCTCTCCAGTGTCCCAACACAGCTTGGCCCCAATTGGCCATTGAATCAAAACAATTCACAGCAGAATCCAATGAAACAATCATCTGTGGGTAAACAATCTCCAAACACATTCCAAAGCAGCAAAACAGAGGAGAAGCAAATCAGATAATCATTGTTTTCCTTTTCTCTGAGGCTTCTCAACTTCCCAGGAGAAAAATCCTGGCTGAAGGGATTTTGAGAAAACGTGAATGCCACAGCAGGATCAAGGCAATGAATGCTGCACCCATCTTTCAGTGTTGTACCTGTTGTTAGGAGCTGTTAAATGTGGGTGCTAAGAATGATCACATCTTGTTCTGGAGGGATGTGAACAAAGCAGAGCATCCATCATTCTGTCCTTGTGCTGAAGGTACCACCAAACTGCAGCACCTGCAGGAGAGGAGAGGAGCAAGGGTTCCAGTGTGGAGCTGGGCATTGCAAAGGCAGGACTGAGGAGGATGCAGGACAATCCTGCATCATCCCAGCTGGCCTGGAACAGGGTGGGCACTGCTCCTGGCAGCAGCCACATGAGCTGGGTGCTGAGGTTATGTGGGTCCAGGGTGAATCTGTGTGTTTGAAACCATTTCTTGGCTTTTGCAGGTAAATCAAAGACCAAGGAGAACAGGCAGTCAATCATCAACCCTGACTGGAATTTTGAGAAAATGGGCATTGGAGGCCTGGATAAAGAATTCTCAGATATTTTCCGAAGAGCTTTTGCTTCAAGAGTTTTCCCACCTGAGATTGTGGAACAAATGGGTGAGTATAA